CAGACTAGAGAGTTTTTTAGGCTCAAGAATAGTAAATTGCTGTTTTATTCTTGCTAGTACCGTTAGAAAAATTCAAGTTGCAAACAAGATTAAGCCTCGATTGAAATTTAGAAATGTTATTTGGAGATGGGCATAATAATCACTAAGTTAGTTTTTAATTAATGAAGCATCCATTAGTAACCTGTGATGAATACTAATTTGAATCGGTGTTTGTGGAGATTGTAGTAATTTTACTAGTTGAATTCATGAGTCGATTAAAGCTAGACCATCATGGAAAACATGGAAGCACTGGGGGACGTTTAGTTCTAGTATGGGTCTCCTCAGCAGCATACACCCACGATCCCCACTCGGGACTAGAAACCATGACCATCAATCTCGAGCGCGAACACTTAACCCCTAAACCACTAAGCCGGCATCAAACGGTATTAATGTCTAACTTCAATCGATTCATGATCGTGTACGACCATTCATCCATTGTCTGAGGTAGGTACCAGTCTCTACCCGACATGGATTGGGCTCCACCGGTCACTACTTCTCATTAGAACTTCAAGAAATTCATCTTGAAGCTATTCGCTACTGAGCATATAAGCATTGTTAGAATGGGGATTCGTAGACGAGCCCTGCTGAAGAGTCCTATACTAGGACGAAACGGCTTTCCAGTGCTTCCAGGTTTTCAGTGATGGTCTAGTTTAGATCGACACATGAATTTAACAACTAGAATACTGATCTGCTCAGTTCGTTACAACACAGCGACTTATCTAATTCCAATATAACATGATTAATAAAAATGTACAAGTAATATCAATGAAAGTAAGAAATGTAGAATTAGAAGACTTGGTTTGAGAAAGAGAAATGAATATATGAAGTAAAAGGTATAAATTAATTTAGCAAAACAAGGTCTGTTGGGACAAAATGTTTGAAAACATCTATTTTAGTGCAAGAGATCTTCAATCAAATCAATTGTCTCCAACCATCTGTCATAATAATAGTGTGTACCACAACTACATAATTTTTACCTATTACCATGATTCAAACGAACTGTCACCAACTTCGTGTATTGATATCACTAATCAGTTTCATTGCCCCATGATTACACTTACCCTATACCTATTCCAAGTGGTAGTTGGTTGATCCTAATAAATCATCAAAACATTCATGAAAATCAAATGTGCGTTTAGTGAATTATGTATAAAATTACAACCCTGAATTCAAATATGTAAATTGTGTTTACATGAACGCACACTTATGCATTTCTTAGTTATTATTGTAATGGTTAGTGTACATGTTTGTGAAGTTTCGATGTGGTTTTCATTACTATATGATATCAGTTAAAAACCCTTATCTAATATTTTAGATTAAATAATTGTTTAGACTTCATTTAAAAATCCCCAGCAGTGCTCAACAAGAACTTCATTCACAACCATTATAATTCAAATAAGCAATTTGAGTCTCTGTATGTGACATGAATGTCTTGGATTTAACACTTTATAGTTACTTGCTATTGGTAAAATTTGAAATTTGATAAAAATAGCTCACGAATTCACTCTGTGTTTTTCAGTGATTCTTGAATCAATACATATTAATACACTGAAAGGTTACCATCATACTACCATACATTATTTTATAGTTTCTACCCTTTTTCAACTTTGTAACTGACCTATTCATCCAGTATATAACTCACCCTTAGTTATTCAAACTAATTTTTTTCTTCTCTTATAAGTATTGTTCACTTTACAACTATTCGATATACAATAAAATATGCAATAAAATGTAGAGTCTGCTGGTAGCACCGAGCAACAATGCCAGAATATTTGGGATGCGTTTCTCACCCTCTAAATGCTTCATGACTGTCCTGCGTCAACACCTGAACTAAGAACAAGGAGCAAAGTAATCAGACGCATCGACAACTTCACTTATCTTGGAAGTCTGATCAGTACAAATGAGTTGTTGTTTGACGAAATCTCAGCACGGATTCAAAATGATCATTTGGCTTCTGCCAACTTACGTCACCTATGTCGAAGACGAGATATCCGTCTATCAATTAAGGGACGAGTATACTGCGCGGCAGTCGGGTCTGTTTAACTTCATGATTGCGAAACGTGGCCACTCAGAGTAGAAGATACTCGTAAGCTCTCATCTGCTGGGATCACCAGATAAGTAATAGTGAGATTAGACGCAGGGTTTTAGGGAATGATGGTAAATCAGTTGATGAGGTTGTGAATCTTCATCGACTGAGATGGTTGGGCCATGTGTTACGTATGCCTGAACACCGATTATCGCGATGTGCAATGCTAACCGGTGTAGGGGATGGTTGGAAGAAAGTTAGGGGCGGACAAACCAAAACGTGGCACCAGTGCTTGAAGTCAGTATTTTGTGGTCTTAGCCAAGTTGGTAAATGCAGACTACTTGGTTGGGCTCCGCGTGACTACTGTAACTAATAGTTGGAGGCACTGGGTGACATGGCTCATGATCGATCACAATGACGTTGGTGTATATACTATTTGTCTTCCCTTAAACTCTGAGATTAAAATTACTTTATACCTTTCTTTTAACGAACCAATTCTTTCTTCCTGTATTATATCCTTATACACAATCTTTCTTTTATATATTACTATAACTGAATTGTTCATCTTGTTGTGCTAATGAGGTTTGGCGACTTGGATCGATATATATATATATATATATATATATATATATATATATATATATATATGTGCCTGGTCCTACATTGTAACTGACTGACTGACTAATATACAATATGATTACCATTACTAGTTCAATAGTTTCTTTCTATATAAAATCATTTAAACAATTGAATATTTTCACTTATCTATCCAAATAAAGGAACATAATATAATTTATTATTCCATTTGTCAACATGTCAATATTTCCGTTAAAAATAATTATGAAAAACAAATGACTAGATATACATAAATATAGTTTTACAAGGTTGTCAAATATTTCCGCTAAATTATGATTAAACTGCTTTTAGATGTTAGACCACCATTGTAAACCTGGAAGCACTGGACGGCCGTTTCGTTGTAATGTGGGACTCCTTAACAGTGCGCATCCACGATCCTGCTCGCGGATATCATTATTAAAGTTTAACTCGATAAGTCCGAATAAATTGAACATTGGGTAGATTTCGATAATGTAATAGGAAGACAAAGTTTATCAGGATTATCTAATATATATATGCGTAATACATTTCGAACAAACTGATCCCACATAATATACTTGTTAAGACATTTTTATATGAAAATTAAAAGACCAGTTAAAGGTGAGTGAACACATTCCAGAATGGCGGCAGAAACAAATAAATTCCAATGGTTAAATAAGACCACAGGATAGACAGACATCATCCTCCATAGCGAAACATTTGATTGAAACTAGTCATAAAGTTGACATCAAATCAGCATTTGTAGTGTCATACCAAAGCCTTCAAGGACGTATACTAAGGTTTATTGAAGCTTTGGCTGTACGTAAACTGAAAACCAATTTATGTGTTCAAAAACAATTTGTCCTTACACTTAACCTACCCTGGTAGCGCTGATTTACTATCCAGAGTTGTAATCACATTTGTTTTTGTGTACTTTAATATTTTCAGAATGGGTTTTGTGTAGAGTTTTAGTGGTTAAGTGCTCGCGCGCGAAGCCAGTAGGTCCTGGGTTCGAGCCCCGCGTGGTGCGGGATCGTGGATGCGGACTGCTGAGGAGTCCCATACCAGGACGAAACTGCCGTCCAGTGCTTCCAGGTTTTCAATGGTGGTCTAGCTTCAACTGACTCATGATTTCAACCTGTGAAACTTTAATATTTTTTCCTTTGTTATAACTTACCCTTAACCTGTCTAGTTGACCTTTTAATTTTCATATATAAATGTTCTTAACAAGTATATGTGAGATCAGATTGTTCGAAATGTATTGCGCAAATATATCACATAATTCTGATAAATTACGTCTTCTCATTGCATTATCGAAATTTTTTCAAAGGGACTAACTGTTTTAAATTGGCTAGATTGTTATAAATAAGTATAATATATTTGTAGATATCCTAATGAGTAGAAAAATTAGAATTTTCTGACATCTCATGACTCAGTTTACTGAGTTCGAATCCCAGATTCAATGGCAACTGTGAAATGTATATAGATCTGTCTGACGACCCCAACATAGGACGAAACGTGTTATAATTCCCTCTTATTACAACTCAGCTATTCCTATAACTTAGTATTCTTGGACACCGATTCACTCGACAAGTCCGTAAATTCGAACACGGTTGAACGGGAAAGAATTTATACCCTAAATAACAAGGTTAGATGGAAGTAAGAAGCACAATAGGAAAAACGTTAGTATATTTATAGTTTTTTTCATGAGAAGATTCGAGATTGTTCTCTAAGTATCGACTGGCGCTGATTGGATAAAAAATTGCCATCTATTCTATGTTACAGCTATTTATTTTGATCCTATAATCATTCACTTGATGTTGTTTTACTTGTATCTTCCCATTGTTATTTAGGACTGTAATTGATCAGTCTCTTATTAGAATATGTGCATACTGTGTGGATTGCTTTGACATTGACTTAATTTACAAGCATTATAAGCAAAGACTCGTCAGCTGAATGTACCTGCATCGCGATTTTGCTGTTCCCGTCCTAGATTCCACTGTTAACCACTATCCATCTTTGCTTAGAAAACTTATCATCATTGTTATTATTATTATTATTATTATTATAAATTAGCGGTATTTTCTTTCGCATGTTTATTTAACTGAACAGTGGGAATCATTTCTCACAACAAAGTATCATCAACAATTTAACAAAAGGAAAATAGTATTACTATGCTATCCATATATATAAAATAATATTTCAGTAACAGCATGATATTAAAATCATTTCCACAAATGAAAGAAGGTGATATTCATATTATACATATAAGTTTATATTACCAATGGATTTATTATATAGTTACATAATTCACAACTATTTTGATTTGCTTACATTTTAGAATGCCTGCTGATACATTGAGAGATTGGCTAACATGAATACAGAATAAACCGAAATGAAATATCAAAGTAAGCTTCCTTCTTTTATATTAATACCATTTTACTTTATATACACTATACTACAAACGATAATAATAATAATAATAATAATAATAATAATAATAATAATAATATTTATATGAGTTTAAATGCCATACAGTTTTCATAAGCCTATTTTATCCCACATCTTCTTTATGCCATTTTATTCAATGAGATTACAAAACATGAAAGATTTTCTCATTTTAATGAATTACACTTTAACGAACTGTTTGTATTTAATGTAGTGTCTGCATTATTCATTTTGATGAATCGGTAAATGAATGAATATTTTTTCATCACTTAGATACTGAGTCGACATTGAAACAGTGTTAATATATCTAAATTCAGTCAATCGGAGACAGTGAGTGACCATCTTTGATTGTGTTTAGTAGGTTACTGTGTTACAACTGATATGGTTAAACTCCACTGGTTATGGCTTATCATTAAAATTTCAGAAATTGTTCCTCAAAACTAGTTATTAATAAATACTCAATGGATTCATACTATTCAGGAGTTCTATACTAGGATAATAACGTCCATTTAATGTTTACAAGTCTAACTCAGATCGGTTCTTAATTTCAGTGAAAGATATTTCATAATTTGATAGTGTCTAAATACCTTTCAGTGATCCGATCAAACCTATGCAGTGTCAGTTACTATTGTCATGTTTCGACATTGTTAATTACTCACCAACCATGACTGTTTTTTATATGAGCGAATGTGTGTACATTTGTTATCCTATTCACCACATGGTTGTAGCTTATTTTTGTGTAACCATAAATATTGATTAAAGCTTGATTAAATGGAGTTGGTTCACATGCCTTCACCACCACGCATCCTTTTGATTTTTTTCTCTCTCTCTTCTTTGCTTCATTTGCTGCGATTGTCTGTTCCGATCAACGAATGTACAAAATACACATATTCAAACATCCATTCTCGTATTTAACTTATTTAATTCCGTTATTCACTAACGCGTATTTATACGAGGACTAACGATATATATATATATATATATATATATATATATATATGTCGACAGCAGTTATTCATACATTATCACTGATTTCAGATCTCAGACTACTAAGCCTATGATTATGTATTTGTTTCCAACTGTCTAAATAATATAACTTACCGGTTTCTTTTAACTTGTTCAGTATGATGTGATAAAATGTATTTCATTAGTGACTGAAATCATATAAAGTTTTAAAAGCTCTCATAATGACCACTTAAGTTAATTCTACTTACCTTTATTGATTACGTCATATAAGTAGAAGCTCTAATCTTAAAATTATTTCCTTTTCTTCTTCATTTGTTTAGAAAGTATCTTTTTTCCCATATTTTACATAACTTGTATCATCTCAGCTTAAACTAGACACTTCACTATAGAAATGAGAAAAAAGACGTACGTATTTTGTACTCTTTAGTCCTATCAGGTGATAATTCAAATGGAAGCAGATAGTAAATGAGTGGTTGTGCGAAAAAAAAAAGAATATCAAATATTGACTGTCCAAAGTATCCTAAATTTCAGGTTGTGTCCAATACAACACGGTACTAGGATAATAAAAAACTTATTTATTTGTTTGTTTAGTTGTATACACAATGTGTATTTCTTTGCATAATGAAAATGAATTATTTTATTATTATAATTGCTTCACTTACTATATTATTATCAGTATAGGGTTGTGGAGATTATTAAGTTTTTGATTGAGATCATGAACCGATTGATGTTAGATCACCATTGAAAACCTGGAAGCACTGGATAGCTGTTTTGTGGGACTCTTCAGCAGTGTGCATCCACGATTCCACCTCACGAGATTCGAACCCAGAATCTTCAGTTTAGTGCGCGAACGCTTTAACTCTAGGCCACTGAGCCGGTATTCAATAGTGTTAATCTCTAGCCTTAACCGATTCACGAAATTTCGCGACCATCGTCCATTGTACTGAGGTAGTTACTTGTCACTACCCGACACGGATTAGCTATTCGTGGTTTTATTCAATATTATATTTTTGGTACAATATAGAATCCTCAGCACAAAATATTTTAGCGAGTTTTCGTTTCTTATTTCTTGATCGATATTGACGATAAATACTGAGTGATCGCAAGTAAAATATTAGTATTTCAGAAGTTGACATCTGAATAATATTCATTCTTTTCAATGCATTTCGCCAGCCATCATGATGTCTCCAACTGTATGTTTTTGTAAATTGTACAATGAAAGGTCGTAAACTTTTCGCAAACACACCTGAATAGATTACGCAATTAACTAACATAATGATATGTTAAAACAAACAAGGAAACAGATAACTTGTTGAAATATCTAGATAACAGGAACAGGTAACCCAGAAATTCAAATAGGCCGCCGTGTTCTTGTTTTCACTTCACTTATTATTTTATTATTTATCTAAAAGGGGATGTCAAGTATATATTTTAACAGTACTTATTATGAAATATCTTAATTTTGAAACAATGTAACAATTCCAAAGTAAGTCAATCCTGCTAAGGTTAGATTTGACAGTTTCAAAAAAAGAGCATTGAGTAGAAAGTTAGCAATAAATATATTTTTGTTATATCGTAATGAGTAGAAAAAATTGTATTTCTGACGTTTCGTAACTTAGTGTAAGCCGCTTCTTCAGAGTAAATAATTAATCGAAATTTGCTCAGGATTAATCAACCAAAATACCCATAGTCATTACTTTAAATCCATTACGGTAATAAAGTGTAACTTTGTCATAAAGTTGTTTAATCAATGGTATTAAATAATCAGATTATGGTGTACAGGAACTTCGGAAAATTACAGCCATAATTCTAAAACGTAACTATATACATAAATACTAAAGAACTGATATATTATAGAGTTCACAGAAAGTACCCTTTTAAATATTCGTAGTGAAATGGAAATTAATTGATTGAATCCTTTAAAGAAATTTAATTCAAGTATATTGAGTGTGAAGACAATACCTACAAATAATCGTAGATCGTCGGTAACTATCGAGAATTGATTAAAGTCAAACTTATACATAACTGGATTGCAGCTAATTGGTCTGAACATTAAGCTTTCGTGCATAACCGAAGGTTCTAAGTCTGATCGTTGATTATGAGGTTGTAGATGTGCAATGATACTAGGATAAAATAATTATCCAATACTATCAAGTTTTCATTGTTTTTGACAACTGAGCATGATTTGTTATTTCTACTCAGTTCACAAATCTTCACAAATCTAATACTGACAATGATAGTTCATTTCATTTCTTGTGAATAAGTTTATTATTTCTTGGAATTTAAATTTGTCTAGATATTCTATAGAGTGTCATGAATTATTGATATTTCTTCTTTTCAATCTATTCTATCTTCATTAATCATATTTAATAAATGAATAAATGGAAATAAACCTCGGATAATATCTCTCTTGAGACTATAATTTTATGATTGAGAAGAAAAAATCAATTATTCACATGGTTTATTTTATTTCTGTAAATAGTTAATGGTTAAACTTTTAACTATACTAAAACTATGTTGATCAATTTCACTTGGTATTATTTGGCTTATATCTTCCCATTGAGGTTTAAGACTGCAGTTGATCAGTATGCACATATGCCAATAACAGTGTGATCAATTTCAGTCTTAAACATCAATGGGAAGATACAAGTCAAACAATATCAAGTGAATTTAAATTCACCCCAATGCGCAAGCAAGTGGCTATCAGGACTCAGTAGGTAAGTGGATAACGCGATGGCGTTTGAAGCGAATGGTAATGGGTTGGAGTCCCAGAGTGAACATCGACTCTGAGATGCAGCTACATACAGCTGGTGAGTCCCAGGTAGGACGAAACGCGCGTCCTGGATTCCACTGCTAGCCACTATCCATCATTGCTTACAAAAATATATTGATCAAGTTTTCTTTTGTCAATCGTTTTAGTTTCTGAGTATCGTAATACGAATATAATCAAGTTATTTACTGAATAATAATAAATATATATATTTTTTGTATCTTGGTATTTCTAATGTTTCGTGACTTAATATAAGTCACTTTTTTAAAGGACACAATGCTCGATTAATTTCAAACTATCAACTATCAAACTTTGGTATTGATACCTATTTACTGAATTTACAGAATGATCTGTGTTTAACAAGTGATATAAAACTGAACTATTATTTTTAAGTGTATGAATCTTTAATTTTCATTAAAATAACATTCTAAACTAAAACTTACCTATAATTTAAATATGAGAACTCCACCAGGCATCAATTAGAGTTTTTGATGTACTCATGGAATTCGATTAATTGTTGCCAATACTTATGTTGCTACGGGTTAGATAATTAATACCGTGAGCCAATACAAATCTCTATTCCAAAATTATCTACATAAATCAATATTTTTCAGTGGCTATAAGCTTACTATTATTCACACAGATAACTACAAATAGTACGGTTACTTCATTCGAAACATTCAAGTAATCTTTTGTTATCAAAATAGGTTTTATGTGAATATTATTGTAATTTCAATAATTGAGATCATGAGTAAATTAAAGCTAGACCATCATGGAAAACCTGGGAGAACTGGACGGCCGTTTCGCCACATTGTGGGACTCTTCAGCAGTGCGTATCCACGATCCCGCCCCGCGAGGTTCGGACCCAGTTTACTTTATAAGAATGATGAACAAACATTACCATTAACATAAAAATGAACACTGAACTATAAAGTTTAGTCTATTTTAAAATCTGTCCAAACCTCTTTTTTACATATGCACAAGGGAAATTTATCTCACTTTTATGAACAAAAAGTTTACTTTTATTGTTATTTTCTTCACTCTCTCTCTCTCTCTATCTCTGTTTCTCTCTTCATTTTATCTCAATTCATTATGCCTAGTTTTCTAGTCTACTTTGAAAATTAAAAATCAATATTTATGATATTACTGATAATCGTATATTAATAAGTAAACACTGATTGTATAGTTAAGAAAACTTTCATTTCATTACGATTCACTTCGTAT